ATGGCGTCAGAAACTCAGAAATATTGCACGTCTACGAATATCTCCTGTCGTTGTTATTGCTATTACGACATAATCTACCCCTTCTACAAAGATCTTAAGCTCGCTTTCTGAGCCAGAATTTTTTAGGAATCATTTTACCATTGACTTCGTCACTGACATAACATTCTCACAAGGCTGCAAGAATATTATGGCTATAATCGATCTGTTGTGATTGATGACATAACCACCCCTGCATCTGGTTATTGTGGATCACAGAGATGTAGAATCTAATGGTTAAAACAGAGCAGACCAGAGTCAGATAGAATAGAACAGGATGGAATAGAATGTGATGACTCAGAGCTGAATGGAACTGAGCGACTGGGGATATGGAAAGCCATAGAATGTGGTATATGCATATAAAAGTAGTGATTCTCTAAACTTGAATGAAAGCAAGCAAGTCTACTAATTCATTACAATCTACCTCTACCTTCAAGTCTCAGTGAACGTGCAGTTTTTTACCGGTAACTATTTCACCTCCCATAACCTTGCATTTATAACACGTTCAGGCCAGGATGGTTTTGCTGACTACGCATATGGAGGCATGATTAATTGTCAAAACAATAGAAATAGTGACTAGCTCTCCGCGAGAAATGAAGCATTATTGACTAGTTACTTTAAACCTTGTCAACATCCTAGATACACAACTGAGAAGAGGATAATTTTAGTATGTTACCACTCCAATTAATCAGGACCTAGAGGAACACAATCTGGTTGCTTGGTTCTCGAGGTATACGAACCTGAGCATATCATGTAGGATAGAATATATAGAAAGCTCAATTTTCATCTGAATTCATGTCACCATCTATCGCTGCATAAGATGGTGTCGCCGTTTTCTGATAGACTACTGCTATCACTTCAACCACTCGTACTCTCTTCTAACCTCCTCTCACAGAAAGCATAATTCTTGTTTTATCGACTCAGCCGATGCTGGTTCTGCCTACGTGGTGGAAATAAACACTCAAGCCAAGAAGTTCTGTGGGTTCTAGAGTCTGCGGAGGGGGCTGTTGTTTTCAATTAACGGCTTCACGATACTTAAATTTTCAAAGAAATTCAGTGTCAACAATAACTTGTGCTCTAAAGCACGAATCCCTGATCGACTCTTACTAGAGCTTATGTTCGTAGACTACTATTCTGAGTGATGTGAAATGTTTCCTGAAAATATAGATGTCGACTGGTGTGACAAAAGTTATACACTTAAAGCTGTGGTAATGCTGTAGTACGTGATGAGAACGATCATTCGAAAAAAATTGAGGGGTGGTTGTTGATTTGCATATCTCACACTAACGCTACAGAAATTGTCTTTCATGCGGATATCGTATTATGCGAATTTCAGGATTCAAAAGTGAATGAAAACGGTAGCACACAATGCAAGAACCATTGAATCATTCGGGACGATCTCCAAAGTGGAGGCTGGATAGCTTAGACACAGATCACCCTTGAGGCATGAAATGGCAAGTTCGAGTCCAGAAAATCCCGAACATTTCTCGTCGTGTTGGTGTGCTTGGATAGCCCAAGCTTTTTGGATTTCTCTTTGGTGTATAATCAGTGAGGAGTGACGGCTATTCTGCGTAAGGAAACAAACTTCGTAGTGGTGTTTTCGAATGAAATCCAGAGTATGGGTGTCTCCAACATCAAAACAGTCAACTAAAAGTCTTCAAAAGATCGATCTTTGTCATAGCCTATAGCAGCATACTTATTGGATAAATAACAATTAAAGAGCCACAGGCTCAAAAATAGCTCCAACCTGATGATTTAATCCGGCAATTTCTTCTATATTGTCCCAAAAAAAGCTGATGTCTCTATGGGCAAGCACTTTTGATGCTTTTTGGTAGTTCAGGGCGCATAACCGAGTAAACACCGTTGTAATCTTCTGCTAATCAATCTGCGGACTCTGTGGTGAGCAGTTATTCTACGTTGTGTAATACAGCATGGGAGAATAGTAAAGTAGGCAATACTGCACTGGTCAAATCCAAGCGCCTTGGTACATCTGTAGAGGATGATAGTGACTGGACGCCTGTCCGTGGTGTCCTAAACGAACCTGAGAGTGTGGCCCCACTCCTGGTGCTGATCTCTAATATAGTTTGAGTAGCCTGGGCACCTATTCCATTTGGGAAAGAGAAGCCCGAGACCACATTACGCGTGGAGAAAATTTAAAGGATGATGAAGACATATCTGGATAACTGAGAGTTTCAGAGGCGTTTCCCGGAAAGGGTATTCACAGATGCGGGTGACTTGGGGTGAAGAAGAAGCCGATGTAATTTCGCAGTGGTACTTGCAAATGAAACCCGAGGCATGAGTGCTCTAGATTTATGTTGAGTCATCTATTCTGTACTTTTTCTCTGATATTGTAACATAGTTAGATAGCTGTATGCACAATTAAAACCTGATGCAAAAAAACCTAGCTATGACAAAAATTCAAAATTTACTTTCAGCCTGTGATTAATTTCACCACCAGGTCTCGCATACATTGCAAGAAGGTATTTGCTATTTCTTTGAGCACGGCAGAAATTCGTGGAAAGATTTCTCGCGTTTTCTGGGTACTTGGCGGATAATGATCGAAGACATAGATGCGTATTAGTGTGGCCCCGTTCACTTGATTGGGACGAGGCTTCATCTGAGCTCTTCCATCAACCCAGTTGTGGTGGCCCGCTCAGAGTGCAGTGGGTGCTAATTGCTTAGCACGCCGATGAAAACCACGCAAAGATGGCTATTTCAGATAGTAACATTGAATATGTGCCTTGAACCTCGCCGTAAATCCTCGGTTACTCGACCAATTCTCAATCGGCGTGGACCCTCTAATGCGTGCCATGGTCCACCACGTAGATAGCGGAGGTCTCTTCATGGGAGGTGATGAAGTTATTAGTCTGACCATTTCTCTTCGTCACATGAGCAAGCTAATGAGCATCTTAGCGTTGAATTATGTGTAGAGCGCGTAACCATGAATTCTGAGATGAGCAAAGAAGAGATGTGAGATGATCAAGGCTATCTCAATCATGCTCCAAGCCATGTTAATATTAATATTGATTTTCCGGGCTTGTGAGAAGAGGGTTCCGTAAGATACGAGCTGCTAAGTTTGTTAAGGAACCAAGAATGAGGATGGAGAGCTGTGAAAACCGGCACCTGTCAACAGTATTTTCTGAGTGGAATAAAGTCGGATACAAGAGCGGAACAAATCTGATTATTGTATTTATGCATTGAATTCAGTCGACAGAGATCTTACCGCCGTTGCCACAAAAAGAGAAATTCATTCCCAGCGACATGCAATCCAAAGACTTTTCAGGGTACACCTAGCCACCACAGAACAACAAACAATTTACCTTGAGCTCTTCATAGTACCAAGCTTGACCCTCAACATGAGACAAGTGAGCTCTGAGACCCATCCACACAATTATCTTACTACTACCAATATACCCCCGCACCAGGAAGGTAATGATGAAAGCGCCATGCGATCAGACAGACTAGCATGGTGGAGGTATCCGAGAGAATCCTGATAATTTGGCTGGTTTAAGATCTTCGATAAAAAGAGCCCACAAGTGCGACTGCGAGGCACTGGTTTCGACAGTACTAAGTTCTGGAATGGCTAACGATTTGGAGATGATGCAGGTGCTTATGGCTTAAACGCGTAGTACCCGAGACTAAAAAAAATACTGTTCCCGAGGAAAGTTAGATTAATACGACTCATCAAGTCAGTGAAGTCACGGCGTCAAATCATTCATGTAGGACGCAAATTTTGTGCTGCAGAAAATCATCAACTCGGGCTAGCTCGATCCAATTTTGTTTAAGCTATGTTGGGAGTCCGGATAATACAAACCTCCCAGGATGCCATATTATGAAATAAGTTTAAAACTTCTGAACACGGAGTGAGATATTTTCAGATGCGGCCATAAAAAAGGGTAGAACCTTGAATAGTAAAAGACACATAACTCCGTGGTCAATTAGGCACACCGATAAGAACTACTTATTCTTCGATATCTGTACCCTCCCCAAATTTCAATGGTACAGATATTAATGACCTTCTTCTAGGCCAACCTCCCCGGAATCGTGGAAATCACATATTGAAGGATAATTTGTATATCTAGGAGCACGCTATACTACTAGCTACTAAGGGTATGACCATAGATGGCTTCAATTAGACCGAAGTCTGCAAAAGAAAAATTCGACCGTCCTCATCCTCTTTACAAAGAGAAATCTCCTAAGGCTTTTCCTACAGCCTCGAGTTCAGTATAACAAAGGGAATTCCGAGACGTATATGGCTCAAATTTTCCATACCCATCATGTATGCTTGACATGTTGGGCTGTTGTGTTTCGCAACTTATTTCTTTTGACATTCCGAGCAGATAATAGGCAAAATATACACCCAGTAATTTTGCCTGAATTTAAACCAAACATCCTAGGCGACAGAATACCAGCATACAGCGCTAAATAAGCAGGTTTTAGGCCAGATTTCGTCAGGACGACTGGTTCTATAGTGCAGCTAATCATTGGCGAAGACTGATTGGTTACTATATTAGAGCCTACTTGCAGGCTTTGCTTAGCCGCCGAGAAGCAGCAAATCGGTACCATAACTACTACATTCATGAAAATTGACGTTACACTCGGCTCTACAAGGTTCTGGTCTATGGCTCGCCCTGTATGCTGATTAAAACCCTCAGTTCCCCCCAAAATGCTATCATTGTCTGTCTAATATTCTAATTCTTTTTTTGAGCTGGTCTCTATTTTCATCGCGCATCTTTACTTCAAATCAGTTCAATTCGAGGTCGTAAATTCTCTATAGTTTCGCCATCAATTTATTCTTATCATTTTTTAATATTGAATTCTATTCTAGTTGCTAAGAAATTGTTAATTTGACTTTTTTTACACCTTTGACATCCTCAGGGAGCGGTCTGGATATTGCTCACCACTCTAATCAATTGTTATTAATTTTTCTCAACAAACGCATAAACTCAATTCGCTTCCCGACGATGCCTCTAGTGCTCACCTTTTCACTACAAACCAAGTCTAAGGTCAAGACGGTTGTGCTTGTTGGTTCGTGGGATAACTACGTCGGACAACTTCCGCTCTCAAAGGACAAAAGTAAAGCAGCTCCAGGACATTGGAAAGGATGCTTTCGATTTCACGCCCTATCACCTACACAGCGTTCCTGGTACTATTATATTGTTGACGGCTTTCATGTCACCTTTAATCCCGCTCAACCATCTACAACTGAGCCCATTACTAGACGTATCTTGAACATTCTTGATGTTCCCGGTGAGAAGACACAGTTTAATCTCTCACGAGATTCAAGCCCTCGAGACACTAATGTAACGAGTATAGATAAAAAAGCTCCTTCGAAGCCTTCTGCCCCCGTTTATGACAAAAGCTCATCGACGCCTTCCAAGAGAACGTCTCGTCGAGAAAGCTTGAACCTTGCGCTTGACATCCCCAAGGGCCGACCTCTCTCCCTTTCCATGATACAATCACCAAAGCCAGTCACTCCTCATGCAGCCAAGTTTCTCCTGGAAGTCAACTATAATCCTGTGACGAGAGACGCAATTTCATCCCATCTCGACGCTATCGACAAACATTCATACACTCCAGATAGCTCAACGCCGTCCTCTCTGACATCGAGTCTCTCATATCGCTCTGATAGTCGGTCACCTAGCTCTGTCAGCTCTCAGAGTGACTGTAGCTCATCTCAGTCCGTCTGCAGCTGCTGCTGTGACGAATATGGAGAGCATGAAGAAGATAGTTTGAAGCTGAATTATAATGGCGCACGGCATGATTATTTAGGCTTTTCGGGGCTATCTGGGTCGCCCGAGAATCCACACCATCATGGATGTACGGAATAGGAAATGGAGAGTGACCAACAACATGGACAGAGATTTATCGTATGATATTTAATTATGTCAGCTACCTCGGTCTCCCACTCGAGAGATTGGCATAGACTAGAGTAATCAAAGATAATAATTTATCTAATTATTCCTTATCAGTCTTTCAAAGTATAGAGTAAATGGCTCCATTACATCTATATATCTTTTAGGCTGTAGAACAAAAGTGTGGTATTACGTAGTTACAAGAACCTTTCCAACAGTACATTGAGCGATAGTTGAGATATATTTATGACTTAATAAGTTTGATTGATATGTTGAGCTAGTGTAAGAGATACCTAACAAAAAACGTTCGAGTAGCTTCATGATTCACTCGTTGTTCTTTCGGTTTGTTTATTTCTTCTAATCATCTAGCGTGTATGCAGCAATCTAGCTATGAAATATTACCAGTGCTTCGTCTACATATTTAATTATTCTTATAACTCTAGATACATTCGTAATCTAGATTTCATTCGAAATATTTCTATAGAGTTTACTTTTTCCCAGGGCCCGGTCGGTCCTCACTCATGAGGTTCTCTTGTAAGAGAGGTCTAGACACTCCAGATATCCAAGCTTTCCACAATCACCATGTTCATGATTACTACAACGAATATTGTTGAGTCGTGCTAGACTAGCCCAAGGACGCGCAACCACATTTCCCACGTCACTTGTAAGGAAGAGATTGACAGAGCGATGTACGCTTTAGCTAATGCTCCATCCACTTTCAATGCCCTGCATTTTCACTGTCATCGTTCTGGCTCAACAGAAGTCAAGGTGTGTTCGAAGCCTGTGTGGGAAAAGAATTCTATTTAAACACGTTTCTTGGCATCAAGACCGGTTGAAGTACTACTCTGAAACCCTACAATTCCACTGGACCGTCTCGACGCTCATTGAGGACACGATACTTCTGCGAAGATTTGGCCTCGATTGTGGCTCGAATATTTACTCCTAATCGGATGCGGTACAAGAGAGTCCTGTCCGCCCTTCCCTTGACTCGCCGGGCCCAAAGAGAGTCGATCTTGTGGCGCGTTGCAGCAATCAGCCCCGTGACTTCTATGAGTGCGGCGCTCCATGTCTCAATATATCTTTCTTCTGGATTTTCTGCTGGGCGCATCCTATGGTAAAGATATGCAATGTCACACCAAACTAACGAAGCAACACCTTATGCTGGTAGTCTACAGCAGTGCGGTGGAACTCTCATTTCCATATCCTCCCTCGCTATCCCCCTGAACTAGGAAGCCGCGAGACTGAATAGACGGTTCACCGTTTTTTTGATCACAAAGGTGGCGGAAAAGTAGGCCTAGGCCCTGAACTGTTCCAGTGATCTCTGAGGGCGCCGGCATGGTTAGTAGCTTTCAGGGCTGAGCTAGTGCAACTGTAAATAGAAATTAAAAAGATCCATCCGCGTCATCTGCAAAAATCGACACTAGGCTGCTGGTTTTAGTAAGGTATGGAAAACGTCCTACTATCCATGAGATTTCCAACTTGTGCTGCATACTGGACGGTGAACGGGGCCGATCAGGTGGATGTCGGTCATGGAATAGCAGTGTGAGTGCGGAGTGAAAGTGGGCCGTCTTTGTCAGAATGCAAACAGGAGCAAGAGTAATAGATGCGTAGGACCGACATGTTGAATTCAAATGATTCCATCTGAGCTATCAGGTAGCGGTGAAGAGGCTCTCCGCACAGGTGATTACGCACAGCTTAGTCCAGCAGTGGGCGACGTGGAGAGCACCGGAGATTCAATATGGATTCGCGCCGATAGAGAGCAAGGCCGGGCCCCTGCCGGGCACATCGGGTGAGCGCGGGCGCCGACATGACGAATAAGTTAATCAAAACAAAACCCCCCACACGCTCACTGATTCAATTCCGGGGCTGCAGTGATTGGCTCTTGTACGCAGTGCCCGCTAAGAACTTGAGGGTGCAAAACTCCCCCACCACCGCATACACTTTTTCCCGACTGAGATGCTTGTCAGAAGGAGCGAAACTGGTCTGCTTAGAGTTGCGATTCCTGCACTCCAGGGATTTCTCGACGAGATAAATCACGAATGCAAGAATCAAGACCTTTTCAGACGATGTGCGGGGAAGCTGAATATTGCACGGCCCTCGTACGCCAATCTTGGGTTGGTGAGTATGAGTATCCGACGGAAGAATCAAAGCTGGAGAAGTGGATGGAGTAGAGGACTCGAGACTAAGAGGGTATCGCCTAGAAGGTTGACAGAGGCAGTGAACCCTCTACAATTCTTATAATCTTCTGAGGCGCTGAGCAGTGGCTGGGCCTCTATAAATTTCTAGACTCTATTGGGGGCGTTGGCACGTCGGCCAGTCTATCCAGACTGAGTTAAATGGCATTTAGCCCTCGTAGTCTACCATTGTGCACCTGCACGACATACAGTAATTCAGAGACTCAACTACCGTTGGCGCTAGAGCGTGCTCAGTGCCGACTACAGTTTTGCGGATCATCACTTCAAGGTCCGACTGCATTCATCGGTCAATGCAATCGTCCAATCCTAATTTTCTGCGCCTTTTGCCGCAATACATTGCTCATCGGCCTTAGAAATGATCAGAGCAAGTTCTTTGAAACTTGTACTTGCGTTCGGACAATCAGCTCGAGTGACGGGGTAACGAGACACGCGAGGAGTAGGCACTCTGGAAACTTCGCAATACCAAAGCAGCTGGCCCACGAGGCAGTGATTCAATTCTCTCCATCAAATTACCTTTTCCCTCCCAGAGATATCGTTTCCGACTAGAGCCTCTTCAAGTACGGCCCAGTACGCCCTCATTTCAAGGACCACACGCCTCATCAAGCCAGCCTCTGGCCTTAAAATATACGCCTACGAAGTTCAAAGTACCCGCCGGAGAAAAGAAATCATGGCGCACAAATCTAGAGGGCACTTGTCTGGGATGGACGTGAGGGAGATCTAAACAAGTGGGTAAAATGATATTAGGGACGAATACCTATTCCATTGAGACAGGAGATTTTTTGAACAAATCTAGCCAGACTCTGTGAAATTTGTCGCGGTGCTAGTGTACTTGGATAGCCAGGGGGTCTGGATTTTCTTCTGGTGGCTAGTCACTGAGGAGGGTCGACAGCTCTGCGCAAGTTGAAATACCTCGTAGTGGTATTTACAAATAAAGTACAGAGAATGATTGTCTCTGAAGTCGAACGAGTCTGTAGGACTCGCCATTGTTACTACATTGTAACCTGACAAGGGCTCAAAGAAGCGTGGCAATGCAAATTCGCAGTAAGCACAAACTTCTCAACTCGTATTTACACAGAAAGTACCCAGAATCTTAAGTCTAGACTGTTCACGTGGCTAGCAATCACAGAGGCCCAAGCATATGATTATGTCCTGCCCCCGATGGCCAAATTTTAGGGCGGAGATCTGGAGAATTGCTCGACACCGATCATTCGAAGATATGGTAAATAAGCCAGGGTGCATCAAAAGAATTACACAGTGGGTTCTAAATCATGGCTGGATAGAGCGATTCCAGACAAAAGCGTACGAAATACTTCTGAGGGAAAGGACCAGGTCAAGCAATGCTCGGCGTCGTTTGATTTGCATTCATGTCGTATCAGGCTTACGCCCTACACCCAATAGGCGTGATACGGGTCTATGCTCCCTGGCGACACACTACAGTCTAAATACATAGTTTTCTTGTCAAGTCTATACGCAAGACATAAATAATGAAGAAATTCCAAGAAAAATAGAGCGCCCTGCGCCTTCCCTACCTACTCACAACCCTTTGTCCCGGAAAAATCTATTTCGGCAGGACCTAGTCCTTCGGGGGCCGTTAGAGATGATGTAGTTGATTAATATGGAAAACATTGTATTGTCACTGTGCTTCACGACGAACATATGTGAAAGCTGAAGATAACAAACTGAGAGGCCTGGGGTGTTTGTACCCGGAGATTTCCTCCCGTTTAAGTAGTACAGTTCGTAGAAACTTACATGATCCCACAGGGCGCCAAATCAGAATAATGAAACCAAATTCAAGTCAATTACCAGAAAGCTGATGGAATATCCATTATGGCTGGCTAGCGGCCTATATGGCTTATCTTGTTGTTGGGATGTGTGAGGAAGACTAACGGGGCTTACAATTTACATAGGGTGAGACACGGTACGCTGAGAAAATACAAAGTGATACAGTGCTACAGCATGATATGGCCAAGATAAGCACTGAGGATGTGAGGGTTTACACACAGTCGACCAGCGAACTGAACAGAATACCCAACACCAGTCTCATTCCGACTCTAGCTTTCATGTTGCCCTCATCGACCTTAGCACTAAGGGTTGTCACTTCTTGGTAGATGAGCATGTGCGAGTTCCAGTGCAACCATACAATTAGCCCAAACATCGGATATAACAGCACAATGCTGGAATCATACACCATGTGTGATGCTTTTTATCATGACTCTCCGTAAAAGGGTGAAGGCATGGCTAAGCGGTGGTGGAGGTCTAGTTGTCATAGTAAGACAATTGTACGGGCATGGAGAGGGCTGGTCTTGTCGTTGACACTAGCGTCGAGCTAGTCCGAGAAGACCTTTAAAGTAGTCCTCGTTCACGTCTCTAGAGGGCATGCGACGGTGTGTTAGATTTCGGCATATTGTCCACATGCTACCTTACGTATCTTCTGCTGAAGTTATGAGCTTGAGGGAAGATGGAGGTTGGAGCGGAATCAGTGTCGGCAGTGAGACCGATACGGCAAGTCTTACATGAGGTTGGAGAGGGAAGATTTGAGTGGAAACGATGGTATTGACTTGTACGGTTCTGAGTGAACTTTGATAATAAAAGTGAGATAGCGTGTGCGCATTTCTTGTCAACTCTAGTTTCTGACCCGTATTTATCAATCTCCACGTACAAGTTATGTTGCCTGTAGATGTAGATCTCTACACATATAGATATATGAGCCAGGAAGATAAAGATAAATACATGTGTGTCGCTAATAGATCCGAGAAGCAAATAAGGAGGGCAAGACTGAAC